TATATGTTTTTTCATCAATAAACAACCAAGAAAGAGGATATCAGAATAATGTATGAACTTGAGGTGAATTGACAATTTTGTTTAATTTAAAAACATTATTTAATTAAAAAAAAAAAGAGGGGGTAGGGAGAGAGAGCGGAGTGTTAGGAGTGTAGTTTGAAACACAAGAGGCTGGTGTTTTCCAGGACAAATGAGGCGGTGGAATGCTCTGCCATGTCGTATCCATACAGGAGATTCCAGGGAGGCTTGTGAGAGAATCCTCCCATCTGTAAACATGAACACTTGGAGGTCTGGGCTGTGATAAGAGGAAACTTCTAAAATGTCATGTTGTAACCGGTTCCTTTGGTTCACTTGTGCAATCCAGTCTTTTCCTAGTTCTGCTGATGTGCAGGAAGTGTCAGAGGTAGTCTGTGAGTGTGATGCCATCTGGAAGTTCTGCTTTCCTAGAAAGTAGTGATCTATATGAACTTAATTTGAAATTTAAACCACAAACTGACAAAAACTTATCCCTTTTGAATCTATTACTTGTTACATAATTCTATGATTTCTTTTGGTGCTCTTCATTAAAAAATGTGGGTTTTTTCAATTACATGTTACACTGGGTGATGTTCTTATGGTGGTGTTAGATAAACTTGTTGTTTACAAAATCCTTCCCTGTTGCTAAGGGAGGTAACTTCAATAAATGCAAGAGCAGGGATGTCAATAAGTGTATCTTCCTGAATCTTACACGTCTTGGTGCATTTCCACTCCCTGTTTGTATGCAGTTATTGCTGAAATTATTTGCATTATGCTGTGTGAATAAGTTTTGTAGTCTAATGGCATGTTACTCAGTGTGAAATAATGCCCTCAAAGCTGAGGTTATGTCACCCTCTTAGTTATGACCTATCTAATGCAGTTGTCTGTGTGCACAAATGAAGTTAAATTGCACAAGCTTCTCAGCACTATGAGAAATAACTAAAATGACTTTTCACTACCAAAGGTCTGTCAGCAGAGAGGACACACTGGTATTCACTCAGGAGTCAGTCATTACTAAAATAAAACCTGTTTGTTCTTTTCTGGGGTTTTGGAGTGAGGAAGGGAGAAATGGGACAGGGGGAAGATCTAAACTGAAGAGTAGCATACAAGTGACTCACCAGTGTAAACTGGGAAACTTAACCCTGGTTTCATCCCAGGGTAATTTTGTCCTAGGACAAGTAACTACAGAGTGTTCTGCTATGGTGCATACTTCAGTGCTAAGTATTCACAGTCCTTTGAATTTTTCCTTGATCTGGTGGTTCTGTCAGTCTGTGACAGCTCCAGGAAATAAAAAAAAAGAGCAGGAATTTATTGTCTCATTTATAAAGAGAATGACAGGAAGATCTTTACTGATAGTATAATGGAGGCACCACTATCATTACATAAATTCGAGAGTGTTCTTTGCTGGGATTTTCTTACAGTACAGATATAACTCACTGTGATACAAATCTGCTTGTTTGCTGTTTTAGCCTTGAAATGGTCATGTTAAAAATGCAGATTATTACCACAGTTTAAGGAACTTTAAACTTCTGCTGGGATCTAACAAACTGTGGATGGAAGGTGGAAAGTTGTAAGCAGAACTGCTGAGATTGCTTTCAGCAACTGCTGTGAAGGCAGTGCTATTCCCATCGGGGTGCTTCTCCTGCCTTCTGCTTACAGGAAGAGGTTTTCCTATCAGTCTCTGCAGCCAGCATCAGACAGAGCTGGAGAGGGTTCCCACCTCCCTTTGCTGAATGGAGAATGAGCTTTTAGATCCTTTGCTTCAGGTAGTTGTTTAAAGGCAGAGCAAATGGAATGCTCTTCTGCAATCTCAGTCTGCTTAAATAAGATAAGGAATAGGGAAGACTGTGATCTGTCCTTTCCAACTGGTAGACTGAGATGGACAGATGTTTCTTACTCAGTGCTGGGGAGGATAGTCCCCGGCTAGGGGCTCTAGAATGATGGTTAAAAGGTGAAGGAATCCTATGGGGTCCTCCTGCTGCAATGATGGCTTCAGCCCTGCACAAGTGGGAACTAAGATACAAAGACACTCTTCATCCTTTCCTCCTCCTCCTCCTTCTTCCTCTCATTGCAACTACTTTATGTAGTTTTAAAATACTTTTAAATTGCATACTTTAGTCTTTTCTGTCACTTCCTAATATCTGAATCATAGGTAGCTCTTCCTGCCTGCAGTAAACAAACATTTTACTTCTGCCACCTTTCCAGACATTGGATTGTGTTTATGAAGGTGGAGGGGGTCCCTCTGGAAGTGTGCTTGGGAAGCTAATTCACTAGTATACAGGTTGGGTAAGCTGCTTACTGCATGCTTCTGTGGCCAGCTGGTTTCCTTGTCTTTCCAATCTTTCAAAGTGGTGGAGCTGCTGGGCTGATCAGGCCAAGCAGGTAAATTGTAGCAGATAATAAAAACAGAGCATAAGCAGTGGGCAACACTTCTGCAGTTAATAACAGCAGCAAGTAGATTGCCTCAAGTCTTGCTGCTGTTGGTGGTGCCCCTTGGCTCTCTCACACCTTGCATGTGGGTTCAGTGCTGAGGTACATGGTGTGGGTCATGTAGTCAGTCACTTGAGAGTCACTTGGTCTAAGGCTCAGGCTTTGCTTGTTTTTTGGATTCTTTCATTGCAAGGCAAGAAGATAACACAGGATATTTTGAAGCATGTGTCTGCCTCCATCAACCTGCTGCTTATCTTGGACCACATTTGTAAAAGCTGCAAAATAGGAGTGTGTCATCTCACTTTTCATGTTATTATTTCTCTTTCTTAGCTTGGAAAATCCTTTATTTTATTTTTGAACTGACTGTGACTCCAGAATGATGCAGAGAATACACAGCTAACACACATGGAGGCTCCTCACATCTCCTGTTGCATTTGCACTCTCTTTATTGGTTACTGCCCTTTACAAAGAAAATTAATCTTGAATCATCATAGACCAGCCTCACACTGTGTTGAACACTACAGCTTCTGCACTCCATGTGGAACTGTTAAATGGACTTCACTTGGTAAATGAAAACAGCAAAGGAAAGATCCAGTCTTTGTTTTGGCAGCTTTGCCCTTGTACCTTCCTATCTATCTGTGCCTCCTCACTTCCCTCTCTGGTTCTTACTAGTAAGTTGCAAGAAGGTGAGAGTAAGTTAAATATGTTTAGGATAGATTAGATGAGGTAAGAACACCCTGAATATTATGCTGACTTCATTGTGCTTTCTTGTAAAAAATAAAGAGATCACCTTTTCTCAAGTTACAATTTACCCTGACTTTTCTGACATAGCATGAGACGCATACTCTCTATGCAGATGATGTAAAAAACCTACCAAAACCAAACCTAGTTTAGAACCAGTTTCAGAAAAGACAATTGAAGCAAAAGAACCCTGCTGTTACATGCAATAGGAATGCCTCATGTTCCAGTTTGTTCTGGCTGAGGCTGCATATGCACAGGGACATGGGGCTTTCCCTTGTGCCATTTTTTCTCATCCAGTCAGTAAATGAATGGATGAAGTTCCTCAGAAAGATAAGTTTGAGAGACTTTGGACCTGAGAGCTTGTTTTAGTTGTGGCTGGATTGGATACCCTTTTTGCCATAATTGCCTACTCGCACTACTTGCCTATGTGTAATGAAAGAATTTACATTTTATTTCACAACAGTGGGAGGAGTTCCTTTTTCCTATGGTTGGGGTTGAAATGAGTTTTCTGTATGTGGAGTATGAATGTAATTTTCTTGGTGGTACAATTTGGGTAATGTACCACTGTACATACTAGGGAATTGGAAAGAAAGTATTGTTATAGAGGACATTATCCTCTTAATAATATATTCCTTAATATAATAATATTAGAATATATAGAATAGTATATTCCATGGCAACCTCTTTCATAATAATACTGTACCATATAGAAACAATTACATGAAAATATTTTTATCTGTTTGCTACATGCGTTTTGGAAGTCTTGAAACTTAATAGTACATATTCAAATAAATGGCATGTTAAATAATGTAGAAAATACTTATGTGTCCTTTCTATGCCATTTGGTGAAAGTTTTGCTGAATCAGAAACAAAAATGTAAGGGCTGGGTCCAGTAATTATAATATTATAGGGCCTGTCTATTACTGTCTTTTAAGCTTGTAATATAAAGCATTTTGGTTGGAATGAAGATAACACTGACCAAAGTACAAAGAAACCAAATTTCGCAGTCACTTGCAAAAGTGACTTTGTCTTGTAATGTTCCACAGTACTATTTTATCAGTTCTAGTCAATAAAAATCACAGTGGTGTGTAAATCTTTCCAGTGGAATTTGAGGTTATTAGATTATACTCTTGCATTGAATTTCAGCGATTGCATTATTGTCATTCTTTGGAGGCAATGACAGTCTTGCTTTCTCAAAGGATGTTGGGCTTTTTATTTCTTTAAGAAGACATAAGTAGTATTAAAGTGAAATCTCATGGAGTGTTGTATGATTTTTAGCAACTTGTTAAGCAGCAGTTGCTTGTGAAATTTCAGTAAGTCTCATTATAAAGGGCAAATATTTCTCTAGACAATTGAACTATGCAGCCTTAAGTTGCTGTTAAACACCTCTATAGTATTTTGAAAAAATTCACGCTAAGCTTTATACCAAAACTTGTGACTGTAAACAGGTGTAAGCCAAGAAAATGGTTGAGATTATAGCAGAAACATGCTTTCCCACAAAATAAAATCCAGGGATGTAGCCACTGTAATTGTGCAATAAATTATCATAAATGTGATGTCATAGTCTCTGCAAATTTCTGAAGGAGTAGTCTGATTTTGAAATCAACCAAATAGTGAATAACAAGCCTCTGAATTGGCAAAGACAACAGCAGACAAGTCTACATCATTTGGGGAAAGCAGTCATCTCCTTAGTGAATTAAACTATTTCAAAATAGAACTTGTTGACTCAATGTGTTAATCTTGGCTTTTCATGAAGAAGGACAGCATCCAAAACTGAATATTTTTTTTTTTTATAACAGATCCCTAAACTGAAGGCTACACAGCTAAAAAGAGACTGATTGGAAGAGAGTTCACTGAGGCTATTAAATGTAACTCTTCTGAACTGCAGTTTTTCTCTGGTATCATTCAAACATTCTTATTCACCTTTAGAAAAAGTTCCCTGGATGCAGATGGGATTGCTTTTGATTTATGAGTACAATTTCACAAGGGTAAAATTACCCAAGGGTGTATTGTGAAGATTAGACAGAGCCCAGCAAATCTTTAAGATTTCTGTGGCGTAATTCAGAAGGTTTGTTTGGGATAATTATTGTATGTGATAACAAGGATATATTACTTGAACTGCAGCTCTGTTAGTCATGTGTCATTGTAAATTAAAAAAAAATAAAAGTGGGAGGGTTCTCCAAGTTTGTTACAGGTCTTGGTTAAAAATTAAATATTGTTAATGAAATTATTTGAAATAACAGTTTTAAAACTTACCTCAACGTCAAAAAAAAAATAAAAAATATATATATAGTAATTAAAGCAGTTCAAACAGCTTAGAAATTAGTGATGTGCCAACAAAATATATCTCTGTGCCTTCCTAAGTAAGAAAAAGGAAAATCTTCACAAAATCTCCATTCCTGTGTCCTTCAGGTGAAAACATGGGTAAATAAATCTGTCTTGCAGTGTGCCCAGAAGGTTATCTGTGAGGGGGATTGGCTGGAGCATAATTTGGAGCCAAGAGCCTTCCCAGAAGATGAAGCCTGTGTCTAACCTGGCTCTTTCCCCATGACTTCTGCAGATGCTTGCAGAAGCCTACAGGTGACCTTTTCCAAGTTGATAGTAATTTGTTCTATTTTTTTCCCCCCCTTTTCACCTTTATTCAGTTTAGAAGTAATTAAAAACTACTTGCTTGAGTTCTTGTATTTAGTCTTGTGACATAATACACTGCTATTCTTGTAACTTAATTAATGTATTTCCCAAAAGATAGTAGTCTTTTATTTTCCTTTTTTTTCACTTTGCCTTGGAGATCTGCAGCTTCTCTGTCAGCTTGTATCTGTTCATCTTTGGTTGCCTTGCCATTGATCTGTCTGTGGATGGCTCCTCATGCTCATTTTATGTAAACTTTTCATCAATGGCACACGCTCAATCTCTCTGCTCCTAAATGCAGCCTTTTCTCAGATTTGTCTTCTGTATACTACTACCTCTAATGTTTTGCTACCAAATTAAGTGCATTTTCTGTTTTCTTGGAAGTTGTCTTTGCAGTTGACATTTCTGTTCCTTTAACATATGCCCAACATTTTCCTGACGTTTAAGTCTCTTCACCACTAGAGCTGCCCATTCCTACATATATACATATGTTTGTTTGTTTTTTGTTAGGTTTTTTTTTTTTTCCAGGCTTGCTAATCATATTCTTAGAATCATGAAGGTTGAGAAAAACCTCTTAGATCATTGAGTTCAACCATTAAACCAGTACTGCTCTGTCCACCACTAAACCGTGTCCCTAAGGATCACATCTATATGGGTTTTGAACTGTTCCAGAAATGCGGACTCTGTCGCTTCCCTAGGCAGCCCTTTCCAGTGCTTGACCACACTTTCAAGTATACAGTCTAAACCTCTCCTGGCACTACTTGAGACCATTTGTAGCAGAGACCAACCTCACGGTACTACAACCTCAGTTCAGAGAGTTGTAGAGAGCAATAAAGTCCTCCCTGGGCCTCCTTTTCTCCAGGCTGCAGAGCTCCAGCTCTTTCAGCTGCTCCTCACAGGACTTATGCTCCAGACCCTTCCCCAGCTCCATTGCCCTTCTCTGGACACACTCCAGAATCCCAATGCCTTTCCTTTATTGGGGGACCCAAACCACAGGATTTGAGGTGTGGTCTTACCAGTGTAAGTGAATACAGTGAGTGCAGAGGGACAATCACTGCCCTGGTCCTGCTGGCCACAGCACTGCTGATCCAGGCCAGGATGGCACTGGCCTTCTTGGCTACCTAGGCACAGCTGGCTTGTGTTCAGGTGCTGTTGACCAGCGCTTCCAGATCGTTTTCTGCTGGGCAGTTTTCCAGCCACTCTGCCCCAGCCTGTGTTGCTGCCTGGGGTTGTTGCAGGCCAAGAGCAGGACTTGGCCTTATTGAACTTCACACAGTTGACCTCATTCCATTTATCTAGCCTGTCCAGATCCCTCTGCAGAGCATTCCTGCCCTCCAGCAGATCATCATTCCCACCCAGCTTGGTGTCATCTGTGAACTTACTGAGGGTGCACTTGAAACCCTCATCCAGATCAGATTATTGATAAAGATATTAATCAGGATTGGCGTGTATATCTCTAAGTGCCACAATTATTTTTTCTTCATAGATTCATAAAATGTAGTCTTCTTGAAGGTTGTATTCAAAGCCATTCATAGCTGCACTGTATCTCTATAGAGAGTTGCATATTATTATTTTTCCTGCCTGCTCTAGCAGACTATCTCTGATTTTAGACTTTGCACTCCATTTGGGAGTGATGAAGTGATTAAGTGATGAAACTGTCTTATGAACTATTAGAACTAGAGGGTATTTTTTTCATTCTGTTCTCAATCAAGATTGATTTCTTCTATTATGTGTATAAAGGATTTGTGAAGCTGTTCTATTCACTCATGTATTTTTGTGACATGCTCTTATGTCTATACCAAGGGAAGGAACTACATACAGATTTTTCAGCCAACTTCATGGTGGAAAGCATCTCTTTTTCTGCTTGGAAAGCATACAGCAGGCTTTACATATAATTGCTCTTTTTCTGTCTAATCTGGGCAGATAAGAGATTCCTTTGTAATTTGGATTTTGGCCACATGGAGATCCATGAAGGCCAAAATGGCTTGAATTTGTGCGTAGGAATGAACAATTGTCAGAGTATTGACTAGTGAGCATGGGAATTATCTGTGCCCTTTTGGGACTGCTGCCAAGGTAAGATGCTGTTGTCTGTATTAGCTGTAAAGTTTCTTTGTGGTCGTCCTTCAGTAAAGCCCCAAATAGAGTGCATGGTTCGAATTCCACTGAGATATGAAAGCAAACACAAATATGAAAGCTGACCCCTGAAGGAATGTAATTTGAACTATAAAGCCAAATTTTCTTTCATTTGATGATCTCACTACTCTAATAATAAAATAATTATTTTTTTAAAATTTTATTTTTAATATAACAAAACCTGAAGGCAATGGAATTTGCAGCATGCATTCCCTTATCTGAATGGGGTAGAAAGCTTTGGAGTCTTCGGGTGCTTTGACAGCATCAGTTTTGTCTTCCCTGGACTGGGCCTCTATCAGGTACTTTTCTCCCAAACTGTGTCAGGCAAGTCGGAAATGATTTGGAGCTGGAAGATACATTTACATTGGTGACATGGCCACTGGGACTATTGCCTTCTATTTTCACAAGTCTTTGAGAAATTCACTAAGAATGATGTGTGACTAAGCAGATTTAATTACTGTGCACAGGAGGTAAGCCCTGTATCCTATATGCAACCCATTTCATCTCGGAATATTCTGTGATTTGATGATGTAATCCAAGCCTGTTGCTGTCCAAGAGGAAATAGTTGTGTGAGCCCCCTCACCAGGATCCTGCATGTAGTGACACAGATCAAGGCACCGAGGGCTGCTGCTGGTTGAGCTAAAACTGACCAGGCTGCATGTTTTGAGTTTTGCAATGACCCTGATTGGGGGGAAAAAAAGCTGTTTGTATATTGATGGGAAAGCAAATTGGAAGTGGTCCAGACCTGTTTGTGCACTCTCCAGTTGTTTTGCTGCATCAATCTGTGCAAAGTATTCCTGGAAGGGGAGTCCAGGAGGGGGGTGGAGAAGAAGGTGATGACTTGTTATTTTCTGATCTTGCTAACCTGCAGTGTTCTTAATGGGAATAACTGGAAATGAAGAGGCTACTCAGGTGTAATGAGGTTTAACTAATGTAACCAATGTTTCAACTTGTTCTACTGCATGTTTGCTCTAAGGCTTGTTTACATATTGTATAAGCTAAACTTGCCTGTCTTGTTGGGTGAGTGTGGTAAAGTCTGCAGAGCTACGTGAATATACTGTAATATCTTACATAGCATTAACAAAATATGCCCCTGTGCTATGACACACTAATGGCACATGAAATCTCTGTGCTTTTCAGACACAACTCAGAATGATATCAATTTTTTGCAGATTATAGGAAATCAGGCACACTCAAAAAATACTGTAATACCAACCTTTTGTATTAAAAAAATAAATCAAGGGACCTGAGTTTCTGACAGAGACAAATGGGAGGTGCAGATTTTCTTATTGATGGTCTTCTGGATTGTTCTGAAATGTAGTGAAAATGTGTTGAAGGACAGTTTATATCCATTGAGGTGATATTTTTCTTTTTTTTAAACCCCTTTCCTAAGCTTACTGCCCTAGTGGTCTTCTGGTGACCTTTTGGAGTTTATCACAAGAATATTTTTGGTATTTCGTATAATATAGCTACTACAGCTTCTTTCACTGAGAAGATCTAGTGTAATAAGAAGGTAGCAGTCACTGTCCATAACACTTCCAATGCTAAGGAAATTTTTCTTTTCCTCTTGGACTGAGCTTCATGAGTTAATATGAAGCAAAATCTAGGAAAGAATGTTTGAAGTGAGCCAGTTAATCAGAGGTACTGTAAGTTGATTACTATTGTGCTGAACAGAAAAATATGAAAGTAGTCAGGTTGTGAACCAAGTTCTGCAGTTAATATATTTTTTGCCAGTTTTGTTCATGAGAACTGATTCAGCTATAGAGACAGGACTGTTGTAAAAATCTGGGGCTTTGATGCCTAGAATTGCTTTTTGTTGTCCCTTTTGAACATTAGTATGTAATATTTGATTGTCTCTAAGAATCTGAAGTTTCTCAAGAGTTGATGTTTCCCTCAAGAGCGTTATTCAGAATTGTTATCTAGAAGTGTTTCATTATAATCTATTGATTTAATGACCTTTGTAGAAAAATGTTTTGATAAAATAGAAATATGTAATTATTATTTGCCACAGTAAAAGGTGAAATATTTTAATTTTAAAATGAAAACTATAATAAAATTTAATCAGAAAACTAAAAGTACAGCTCCACTAAAGTAATACATTTCCAGATTTTTTTTTCTTCTGCTTTCTCCACTCTTCCAGGAGGTTGGAAGGAAATGTAGCTTCATAATCTTTGATTTTCCTGACTTGCCCTATTTTGATAGCCTCCCTAATGTCCTTATCATAGTTTGCTTGGAATGGATTGTTCTGAGTTTCTTAGGGTAGCTTAAAGTGGAGATAGTGAGCATATATTTATATATAGTTTACCGTGTGGCTTGTGTCTTAATATTTCTGAGCAGTTACCGGGCCTCCATAATCTATATTACAGGAAGAATGTTCGTGCAAAATGCCGGTTTTATAACAGGAAAGGCCATGACCCATAGTGATTTTTATCTGGAAATACTAGCTAGAAGGAAAAATGTTCCCTCATTTTAAACTTCTCTGTAGTTTGTTTTTTTGGTGGTTTTGGTTTTTTGGTTGTTTTTTTTTTTTTTTCCATTATTTGAATTTTCAGTCCAATTATTTTGTGTGCCATGTAAGTAACTGCTGTCTTCAGACTATAGTGATGTTAGCCCAGTGTGTGGGTACCATAGGGATGAAAATCTGGCTTTCCCTGGGATTCACAGGTGCTGGTGGAGCCAGTGGTGGGGGCATGGAGCACTGTGAAGCCATTAGACTTTACAGTTTTGTATTGCACTATCTGACATTCCTGTGTGTTGAGAAACCTACAGGCAGAAGCTCAGCCTTGAAGTAAAAGAAATTGTGACTGGTAAATTTTAAA